CGTAGCAACAACATAAACTTGGTTCGCCAAAGTTTCACGAATGAATATCCAGATGTACGATGCCCTTCACGTATTCGCACGTGAAGGGCATCGTACATCTGGATATTCTTTCGTCTGACAAAGCCAAAAGTAGATATGAGCATCTGACAAAGCCAAAAGTAGATATGTGTTTGCTGATATTCAGGCGAAATTGACCGTAGAAGATCAAAGAGCTTATGCACGGAGTATGATTGATACAAAGAAAATTGAAAGCTTGCATACCTTGTTGGAATACCTAGAAGAGGCAAAAATAATGGCAAGTAGTCAATCGGATCAACGCTCTTCAAAAATTGGGATTTATCCAGTTAATGTGGACGGTGGTTACAATGGTGGTTACAATTGTGGTTTGGGTTGTTCCCAACAACATGGTTTAGGTTATTGTCCAGCATTTAAGAAGATGAAAGTGAAGGAAAAGTGGGAAGTGGTGATTCAGTCCAAGAGATGTAAAAAATGTCTGCGAACTGGACACAGACACCAACAGTGTTCGCAAAAGGCATGCGATATCAACAGTTGTGGAAGACCACATCATTACCTATTGCATAAAGATCCAAAACAAGTGGACAATGGCAATCTGAACCATGATGCACAACCATTCAAACCAGATCAAGAGCTACAGGCATGGGATAGTCCACTCGGTTGGTGCTATTTCAGCTGGTAATGCAGGAACTGCAAATGTACCAACTCAAAAAGTCAAGGTGCACAGTGCCAATGGGAACTCTATTGAAGGACTTGCCATGGTTGATAGTGGTTCTAATAAGAGTCTCATTCGGTTTGGTTGGAGAAACAAAAAAATTAAGATGTATGTTGCAGGTGGTGGGATTAGAGTTGAAGATTCTGCTGAGTTTGATTTAAAGATATCGCCCTGTTATGATGAAGATATTGTATTCAATGTGAGAGCTTATTCAGTCAAGAAACCGTGCCAAGCAGCTAAAACTGTTTCAAAGAAAGCAGTAGTCAGATTTCCTCACCGTGTTCGAATTGTAGAAGATCTAGATTTAAATGGTGGTCCAGTGGACATTCTATTAGAAACAGATCTACCGGAAGCCCATCATGATTTTAAAGTTCTGACGGGTAACTCTGGTGAACCAATTGCGAAGAAGAACATCTTTGGTTGGTCAGTCCTTGGCAATCTTGAAGAGAATAGTACACCTGGAATTTTTGCTGTCGAAACCATTGACGACATAACAAAGGGCCAGGACATAAAGAAATTAACTTTCCAAGATCAATTAACAATCAAACCAACTGGTTGCTGTACATGCTCTGAGAAAGAAATGCGAGAATGTGCATTCATTCGACATGTTCGGTTGAGTCTACTAGAGTTTTGGATGATGGAAGAATTGAAGTAAGAATGCCTTGGAAACCAGAACATACCAATCTACCTAACAACCGATCTGTCCCGTTCGAAGGAATAGCTTTGGTCGACAGAGAAGTGGTCATTAAGCTGAAACAAGAGGAAGTAAACCCAGAAGAGCCGGCTTGGTATCTACCGATTGGAGAAGTGGAAAGTCCCGACAAGACTACCAAGTGCAGATTAGTTTTTGATGCAGCAGCCAAAATGGACGGACTTTCCCTCGATGATGCTCTTGAAAAAGGACCATGTCTTATGAATTCCTTATTTGATGTTTTGATTGGCTGGAGACAGAATGGAGTCGCCTTTGCTGGAGACGACTCGAAGATGTTTAATGCTGTCCATCCGGATGATCAGAAATAACACAGATTCTTGTAGAGAGATGGAGAAACTGACAGAGAGCCTGCCATGAATGCCATTAATCTTCTCGCTGATAGAGCTCAAGTCAAATCACCAGAAGCAGCAAGAATCCTAAAGGATAATACTTATGTTGATGATGTCGTGGGGTCGGAGACATCACCAGAGAAAGTCAAGAAAGTGGTCGATGGTATTGATACCATTTTGGGGACCTTTGGGGAAAGGCAAGTTTGCCATCAAAGCGTGGCACAGCAACAGCTCAGAGATTGATCAAGATGGCAACGAGAATCCAGTGAGTTTACTGGGTCATCAATGGAAAAAGAAAGCTGATAGCATTGCTTTGAAGAGCGAGACAGTGTATACAGATCTCAGTTATTGTACAAAACAAAAGGCTCTTGGTGTGGTGTCTCAACTGTGGGATCTGCTAGGATGGATGGCACCAGTTACAATTCGGTTTCGAATTGATCTCCAGAATCTATATCAGTGGGATGAGGTATTACCACCTGAAGAAAAGTTAAAATGGCAAAAGAATGTCGGAGTTGGTGATCTTGTATTAGAAATCGATGGGAATTGCAAGAGAGGTGAGTGGCAAATGGCATTGGTGGAAGAAGTATTTCCTGGTGGTGATAATCTTGTTTGTAAAGTAAAGATTAGAACGTCGAAGGGAGTCTACAAAAGACCCATAGCGAATTTATGCCCAATTGCAACCTGACAAGAGCTTGAACAGAATGAAACTTTAGTACAACATAGTTAAAAACACTGAAAAGACGGACATAAAGACAGTAATTTTCATTGCTCAAAGGTTGAGCTGTTAACGTTTTCCGCACTGGGGAGGAGTGTTTTTTAATAGAACTGCATGCTAATTATTTGATATTAGTTATGTTAATTTGTTCACGTGTTGTTTTTAATCATACAATCAAAAATCAAAGGACAAAAGGAAACAACAACTATTTTGACATCCAAATAATACGATAAAAATGTATTAAAACTTGTATGAAATAAACCTTAGAACATTGTCTGTGTCTTTGTATTGCAAAGAGTTCACAACAACATGCATGACCAAAATTCCAGCCCGGGCTGAAATTTCAGCCCGGTTTCAGCTGCCCGAGCTGAAACTCAGCCCGGCAGCATGTAATAGCAAAAAATTTCAGCCCGGGCAAAAAAACAACCGTTTAAATTGCTTTATTTTGCGTGTCTGTTTCATCTTTAAATACTTTACATATAACAACAGTCTAACACAAGTCGACTAATCAGCGTCTGAGTGCTTGAAAGAAGCGTAACACACTTTAATATTTGCAAAATTCTTGTCAGTATACACATGTCACTTGTTTACATGCACCAAATGTCGGGGCTTAACTCGAATGCTTAAATTGTTGATTAACTTCGAGTTAAGCCCCTGGCGAAAAAGGGTGTGGCAGGGGTTTAACTCGAAAAAAGCTTAACTCGAAGGGCTTAATTAAAAAATACCTACCCTTCAAATCCCAACCAGCGAACAGGCATACTCATTACGGGTTGTATGGCCTGCAGAGGAGGTAGCAGAATCAAAGTCGCATGAGAATGGTTTCAAATTTCGAACATTATCATGCACCAATAGTTGATGTATCAAAAATTGGTGAAAAATAATAAATTTCATTGTATAGTTCTACAGAAAGATTCTTAAGTAAACATCACAAGAATACAAGCAACTTGAAATATAGCTTGGTTTTACACACTTCTCTTGTATTCTCCCAACATTCCCCGCGTGCATTATCACATCATAAACGCACACGCGACTCGTTTTCTATTTCAGTCTTAAATATTCACAGTGTCACGCTCCAGTTAATAAGAACCACTCAATGGACAATTCCAGCTATAGACTAAATTTTGATATCAGCAAGAAGGACAAAATCCATCAAGAAAGAGCATTTTAAAATTAGTAAAATTGCAAAAGTTTGGCCACGAAATGTTGTAAAATGAGGAAAATATAACCCTACGAAATTTGCAAATTTTGTATTTAATACACACAGGAAAATTCACTACTTGGGCTGAAAGTGGTGCAAATTCCCATGCGCACTGACAAATTAAGACAAAATTTGCAAATTTCACAGGGCTTTATTTCCCTCATTTTACAACATTTTGCAACCAAACTTTGCAATTTTACTAATTTTAACATGCTTGTTGGATTTTGTTCGTCTTGCATAGATCAAAATTTAGTCTATAGCTGGAATTGCCCATTATACGCCGCTAATATTGTACATGTTAAGATCAAATTTCGCCAAGACACAAAAGAATCTCGGCAAATATCTCAAATCATCTTCGAATGACTACATCCTAGCCCTAACAAATTATGTATATGTACATTTATAAAGAAAGTAGGACCATATTTAAATACAACCTCGTACCCAGGGCTAGCAGTGAATTGAAGGCGGCAGCGTAGCCCTGGTAAACGTTGGTCACACGACTCCAACAACACATAATTGTTACTTTTCTCAACCGGGGGCTGAATGCTAGAGGTGAAACTCGAAGACAAACAGTTTTTATCTCCGAAATTCTTCAATCTTCCCTGTGAATTTTGTATTTCAAGCTTTTCTCAAAGTATGGTGATCGATCAAATGGATCAACACTTTCTGTAGAAAAAACTCAGTGAAATTTGTTCGTATGAGACGTTTAGAAGACTTGGATATGTCGCTCAAGACGCTCGATCATTTGCACAGCCGCACAGGTTTATGGTTTAGTACTTTGTTCAGTTTGTTGCGACTTGCGAAGCAAATGAATGCAAATTCAACTCATGTATAATGATTAAAAGTTGGTTTGTAGAGGGACAATTTATACAAAAGATATTAATACTTGAGCTTCAAACTAGGGACAAGTTCATGGAAATC